TTCCGCTTCCAATGTTTGTTGGGTTATTTGATGGCTTCTACACAACCAACCACTCCTGCTGAATAAAATATACATCAAAAGTGTTGTTTCAACAACTATACAACCAGTACTCAGCAAATAAACTGTGTGAGCGCTACTTTGGAAGCATTTCTAGCTGAAGTAACTAGTCGAGGAAAGTGATTCATGTGCACTATTATTAAGCCTCTACTCAGCGAGTTATTTGTAGGAAGGCTTATTGATTTTTTTTTGCATCACTTCAAAGTGTTGGCATAGCACAGTTGGTAGTGTCAAGGTTTCATAATGCGGTCTTCTTGACTTCGAATCCAATTTCCGGTGCAGGGTGGTGATGATGTGCTTGTAGCTTATTTCGTTTAATTTGATGCACAGTAAAATAAACTCTATAAATTCCTCCATGAAAAAAAAAGCGTAAACAACATTTAACCCACCTTCAATAGAAAGCTGTGTAGTGATTATTGGATAACTGAGAAAAGGTAGAATAGGCGCCTTGGTCTGAGTTCCTTTGGTAAATTGATTGAATTGGTAAAAGGATGTTCCTGAATATAAAGTCAAACAGCACGTAACGTTGTGAACAACTTCAATGACGGTTTTCCAGCAGTGCTCCCATTTTATTTGCAACAATCAAATACCTACGAGATTGTGCCGATGGATGTGCCCAAGCAGTGCCGAATCTAATTTCGGCATAATGTGCTGAGTGACTTACCCCTTGATCACATCCCATTGGCTTACGTTTACTTTTTTCACGCATGCAGCTGCTCGTAAAAAACAGCAAGCAGCTAAGCGAAAAGTTGACGTTTCGAGATAAAGCGTATCCGTAAGATTTTTACTTCACCGGAGGTGTACACTGATCGATTTTGTTTCACGTGAACTGTGAACTGCGAAATGAGGAAATTGGAAAACCCTGATGAATGTGGGGGTCTTAGTGGAATACCTGTATGATGAGAGAGAGAAGGATTAGTAATTTCCATTTAATTCCACTACCTTATTTGCTTATCCTTGACAGATACGCGTATTTCGTCTACAATGTGCAGACTTCTTCAATGTCTTGTACTAATACTCGAGTATTAGTATAAGACACTGAAGAAGTCTGCACATTGTAGACGAAATACGCGTATCTGTCAAGGATAAGCAAATAAGGTAGTGGAATTAAATGGAAATAACTAATCCTTCTCTCTCTCTCATTATAAATTGGAAAATGTTCCACAACCATGTTTCACAACCTTTCTCGCAAGTGAAATTTTAAGATTTTTCACTTGCTTTAAATTTCACTTCGCTTTGAACTGTATGCTAAGCTTTATACTAGACCCTTTAATAACAATAGTTTACAGCATTTTTGAAATCGGTAAGGGGATGATCATTTCCAATGCAAAATCCTACGCTGAATTCAATGCCATGGTCAGAAAAAATTAAAGTAGAGCCATTTTTGAGATATACAAAAATTTTGATTTTTTGAATTTTGGACAAAAGTACGATTACTAAAATGTCAATATCTTTGGAACTAGTGCACCAATTTTAATTTTTTTTTGTGATAATGAAGCTAAATAAATTTGCTATCGTTCATTAGAATATTATGTCTTAATTAAAAATTTAATTTTGAAGTCATTTAAAAATTTACAGCATTTTTTTTAATTTTTCCTGCGAATTTTCCATAAAAATCTTGTTTTAATCAACATTTTTAATGGGATAAAAAGATTCAAAAAATCATTCCATAATTTATTCTTAAAGTCCACTCAAAACCGGAGAAAATGAGCCTTTAATGGATGAAATCGGTTGGAAATTGTCGAAGTTATGAGCATTTTTGTAAAACACTTAAAAATGTTGCTGAAATACAACAGCTTTAGTGTTCCTTTTCTAGGTGTCGTTGTAAGCATCCAAATCGCATGTAAAGTTTTCATGGGAGATTCTTTTCTCTACATATCAATTTGATTAAGGCATATCAGGATTTAAAACCGAGTTGATACAAAAGAAATTTATTTAGGTTTTATTAAAAATGATTGAGAATCGAATGACTTTGTCTTCAATGTTTTGAACTTGTTTCTCGAATCAGAAACCAACAATAGTCACCCATCATTGCTTCATCCCAAAACCCTTGGTAACGACGTTCTATCATCTTCATTTGTTGGTGAAAATGTTCGCCGTGCTCATCACTCTCGTCAACAAGATTTTCCGGGAAAAAATCCATGTGAGAATGTAGGAAATGTATCTTCAAAGACATATTCACACCTGTGTTCAGTGAAATAAAAGGATTTGAAATTAATTATATGTAACAAACACAATATTTTTGATTTATACCTATTTTCTCATAATTTTTGAGCTATTCATCGACGGCTTCCTCATAATCTGGACTTCTGAAATTTCCTAAAAAGGTTGCGACAACACGCTGGAACGATTTCCACGCTTCTTCCTCATCTGGTGTCAAAACTGTATTGAATGCGGAATCATTGAGCAATTTTTTTTAATCTGTGGGCCAACAAATACACCTTCCTTTATCTTTGCGTCAGATAAATTTGGAAATACTGATTTCAAGTACTGGAATGCCGGCCCTTCTTTTTGCAACGCTTTGACGAAATTTTTGAATAGCCCAAGTTTTATATGTAGTGGTGGAAGTATTATGCGTTCTTTTACCACAAGAGGATCATTTTTAACGTTGTCTTTACCAATTGTGAAATTATCCCGTTTTGGCCAATCTTTTCGGACGTAGTGTTCCTTACGAGCTCGACTGTCCCATTTACACAAAAAAAACACATATATTTTGTGTATCTCTGTTGCAATCCAGTCAACATGGCAACCACTTTAAGATCGGAACAAATTTTCCAATTGTGTTGATTGTAATTTATCAAATTGAGCAATAGAGCCATTGATTCATACGTTTCCTTCATATTAACGGCATGAGCTAATGGAATAGAAGGTTTCTCATTCCCTTGATGCAGTAAAACGGCTTTCAAGCTCAACTTGCTGCTATCGATGAATAAACGCCATTCAGCTGGATCATATGGCTCACCAAACTCTTCAAACAAGCCGTTTACGTCATGGCAAAAACATGCCTTGTCCTTTGTAGAATAATATTTGTCAAATTTCTTGTGACGATTCCTGTGACAAGAAATTTTGACCTCCTTGCTCAGCATGTTGTGTTCTTTCAAGCGTGATGCCAGCAATTCGGATTTCTCCTTCGATAAGTCGAGATCTCGCACCAAATCATTAAATTCGGATTGTATAAACAGTTTTGGGTTTTTTCCAATTCCACCTCGAAGTCTTCCTCGCATTCCTCCTTGAATTCCTCCTCACTTTTTGTAACGGTCGATTCAACAGAGGGCGCTCGTTTCCGCTTTGGATAAACAGGATACGGGACCGAACTTGAAACTGGAACAGGTTTTGTCATAGAAGCCACTTGTGGATACTCAACTGTCTTGTGACGTCCTTGTTGCTTAACTTTTGTCAAGCAGAAATAACAATCCGTTGCATGACAAAACGGTCGACGCCATATGGTGGGCATGTCAAAGGACAAATAGCGACTGACAGATAACAAATAAGTGAGTTAGTAAGTAAGACATTAACACTTATCAAAAATAGATGAAGTAAGATAATGTCGATCAGGAAAGAACAAAGCACTACCAAGCTGTACATAAATTGTTTATATGAAAGTTATTCAAAAAATCAATTAACCTTGCGCCTGACATCCACCTAGCCAAGCACGTTTTGCACGAACTACATAATACTTTTGGAATCCACGGTTCGTCAAAGTCTCCAGGATCAATTTTAAAATAAAGCCTGTATGCAGTTTGCAACGAAGCAGTGAAATTGACCGATTTTGTAAATATATAGTTGCCACACGCGTAACAAAACTTTTGAGGATCATTTTTACACTTGAATTCACGTTTTGTCGTATGCATCGTTAAGCAATGTTAAAGAAAGAAAGCTGTCAAATTGAGTTGGTTGCGTTAGGTTCTCGCCGAGCGGTCTCACAAACACTAGCGTAAATTATATTGTTGAAAATATCCCATTTAATTTTGCGTGACAGCTGGTAGTGTTAGTGAAATGCACCGTATGCGTACACGTCCACAGAAAGGCTTAGTGGAAGTGGTGCATGAACCTAGGAGCGGGACAACGGCCAATCTTGGAATATTCAATTTCCATGATTTTACAAAAAATTTCATAACTCCATTAAAGGCTCATTTTCTCCAGTTTTTAATGGACTTTAATAATAAATTATGGAATGATTTTTTGAATTTTTTATCCCATTAAAATGTTGATTAAAACAAGATTTTTATGGAAAATTCGCAGGAAAAATAAAAAAAAAATGCTGTCAATTTTAAAATGACTTCAAAATTAAATTTTTAATTAAGACATAATATTCTAGTGAACGCAAATTTATTTAGCTTCATTTTCATAAAAAAAGATTTAAAATTGGTGCACTAGTTCCAAAGATATTGACATTTTAGTAATCGTACTTTTGTCCAAAATTCAAAAAATCAAAATTTTTGTATATCTCAAAAATGGCTCTACTTTAATTTCTTCTGACCACGGCATTGAATTTTTTTTTTTCCTTTGGTTTGTTTTTTCCGTCGATCTTGTTTTCCGTGCTGAGCACCAATGCTACCGACGTGCCAGGAAGGCAGCTCCAACACCTGGGCCCTACCTATCGACCCATCAACTCATGAACCGGGGACCAACGGCTTTACTTCCCATCCGAAGGAAGGCGTGATCAGAGATGTTATGCCTCAGAACATCCCGGCGGCGCCGACTGGGATTGAACCCAGGTCTGCTGGGGTGAGAGGTAATCACGCTTACCACTACACCACCGGCGCCGTTGCGGCATTGAATTCAGCGTAGGATTTTGCATTAGAAACGTTGGTCAACCACTAAAGTTCACACTTTTTATGTTGTTTTGTAAACTAGTGTAATTACGCATGGTCACCCCAAGCATGCCTTGATTTTAAACTCATCTATATCATTATACTTCAGTCTGTAAAACAAACAAAAAAATGCCATGCTTCTGCCAGTTTTTCAACAAAACCAAGCAATACCGACCCATCGAAAAGAGTGCAGGATCCAGCTCCCATCAAACCGAAACCATTCGCGAGGGTAACGTATCGGCTTCGGAGCTCGTCCAGCTGAAAGCGGAAGTATGGTCACTCAGAAATGCCCTCTCGGATGCCACTGCGGTGAACAGCAATATGCAGGTTTGGATTACATAAAATACAAAAAAGGCACTTTGTTGAACGAATCACTGCAATTTCCCATTCATTTGTCAGGATGCCATCACCCAAGCGGTAGCGGAAAAATACGAGCTACTGAATGAGTTACAACGAGCAAAGAATGATATTGCTGCGCTGGAATCTGACCGCCAGAAGGAACGTAATTTGTACTGCCAGGAAAAAGATACATTTCTCCAGGAAATTGCATCCTATCGAGCGAAAATCAACGAATTGTCCTTTCTGGTGGTTTGTGGTTTCTTATAAATAAGTTTACTAGGAAAATTAGCTATTCCTTTTGATTCACAGGATAAAATCTCAAATCAAAACATTGAATTGAAAAAGTCACTGCTGGAAGCAAATGATACTATTTGTAAAATAGGTCAGAAATACATGAAGCTTAAATCTATGGGTTACTAAACCAAGGCAATACACTCTTAAAAGTTTTTGCCACGATTATAACAGACATATGTATAGCAGCAAAAGTAAATTCTGTAATCGGCTGTTGGAGATTGTTCAGGAATGAATCGTCAAGCAAACAATTACCATGTACCAACAAAATCCAAAGCAAACGAAAAAGAAAAGCGTACCCAGAAATCACTAACGAAAACCAACGTCGCAAATAAGCGCCCTACAACACGGCATAAATTGAGTGAAACATTCATTATGTTTATGCAAAACCCTTGTTTTTCGTTTTTGGAGCTTAACGTTTGTCCTTGCGTCCTTGCTGTTTGTGCCTGTTTGCCGCTGCTCGACAAGAGGTGTGAAAACCAAGCAAGGTCTGCAATTTCCCGCTTCGCCAATAAAATAACACCGACTGTTCGGTGCCAACCCGGTATCCGTATATGGCGCGCTCACACTCACTCATGGCATAACTACATGCACACACACACGCGCGTTGTTGCCCCACTCGCTGCTTGATAGTCAGATTCTCACACCTGGATTTGAACGAGACTTTCTCGTTTGGCTGTGTCGAGAACAGAACAGCTCGACGTCTGCAGGGACAATTTTCATCATCCTGTCTCGTTATTTCCAATGGCAGAGGTTCCGTGTTCCGTTGTGCCATATTGCCCCGGAAGAAACGGAGTCCATCCAACAACGCATCGCAACGAGGAGGTGATGTGGGGAGGAAGATCACAGCTTGACGGAATCCACCAACTCGATATATATGTATGTAGCTCGGCTGATGATGTGTGTTGTTAGTTTGGTTCTCGATGATGCCCGGGAGTGCCATTGGCGCCATACATACGGTGGTGGACGGAAAGTATAACTAGGTCCTACGCGAAGGAACCTCAAACTCAAACCGGATAATACCGGGTATGTTGTGGGAAAAACGGCACCCATAAGCCGATGGAATAGGTGATGCATGGGAAGAGTGAATATTTGGGTACCAGGTGAGGGATGGCAGATGGTAATTGATAAATCTACCTCATAAGAACCATCGAATATATCGATGCATGGAGTGTTATTTATATAACGAAGTTGGTCAAAACATAGGAAACTGTGAATATATTTATAAAACCCTTCATACTGGTGTAAATTCCTACTCTTATTGTGATGATTCTTGAGCATCTCCCCAGTTTCTAATCCAACCTACTGCTGCAGAAAGTGAGCCAAAATGCTCTCATCTACCAGAAAAGCTATCGAAGCCGTCACCCCAGCATATTGCGTATATTTTAAAATATCCCCGTCTAAAACCGGACATAATCACTGCCTCTACTGATTGGGCTACTGGCAGGCAACAGGATTCTGAACTATTAACAGAACATATCAAACCAATGAAATTGAATCCGTCAGCTGGGGAAAAGTAGTATATGACCTACTTTATTAGACAACTGCTGTAAGCAGTTATGGTGCTATAGTGAGTTATGGTGAACTTTACCATCAATGATTATGCGACTATGAGATCGTCATTATCAGTCCGCATCATGCTCTCTTGCTGTGTGGATCTATTTTCTATTTGCTGAAGGAAGTGTTATTGCTATCATAAGCTAAATATTCTCGCTCGCTGGACATTTGAGTTTAAATGATCTTCATTTCAGTTCAACTTGGATGGTTACCATATACATTTTCCTAAGTGATTTAATTGCTTTCTTCATCTTTAGGTATGGGCAAAATTCAAAATTTGTTTTACAGAATTAGTCCTATACTTAGTACACGGTCGACCACCTTGGTGGGATTGGTTTGACTCGCTGGACATGATGGTGAACGTTACTAAAGAGAAGGATTGTTGGATAATATTTTCAATTATTATAATCTTCCTTAGTGGATGACCTATATGACACTTCAGTAAGCCTCAAACGATTAATTTTTGGTTGTTAGGAGTGTCGTAAAGTGGCCCGAATCCTCTGTAGAGTGCAATCATAGAGGTAACTCAAAGACCAGAAGGTCCCGAAGAAACGTGCTCAATTTTTTGGCTCAGCTATGGTACTATCTTCGGTCCCAAGCTAATCGATACACCCCTCGGTCAAACTTTCATAGCGAATCAAAACAGACATAGTCCCCCTAATTCTGCGAGTCACGTGACTCTCTGTCACCGGTGAGGTGACAATTGTCACCTCGTGTGAGGTGACTCTCCGTGCAAATCAAATGGAGAGTCACCTCACACGAGGTGACTATTGTCACCTCACCGGTGACAGAGAGTCACGTGACTCGCAGAATAGGGGGGAGTGTAGTACTAGAATTTCGAAAAGAATGGGGTACGTTAATCGATTTGCTTGGGACCTTAGGCTAGTCAAGTAGTGAGCCAATTTAAAATCGTAAGTTTCCACCGGTTGCTGCAACTGTTGGGACATAGTTCGAACTGAAAAGTTATAGTAACCTTTGTTGCTATGGGGACCATGTTTACCTCTGCGTCCCACAAAAGTCACAGGAGGGAGGTTTTGTTAGTAGGATTAGGTTCATTGGATCAGGATTCACCTTGATAAGTGATGTGATCATTGTTTTGATGTAATGGCAGTTTGATAAATACACGGATCCGGAGCTATGAGAAAATGAACCGATCCTTTCAACTTTTTATTGCAAAGAAGCCTGGAACTGAACCCCTGATTTTCTGCTCAGTAAGCAAAATCGGTTTGTTTATTTGTTTATTTGGTTCTACATCAACAGACTGGGTTTAGTCCTAATGATGGATTAAGCAAGTAAGAAGCTACAAGCTACAAAGGCCGTGAAGTCCAACTTAATTCCTAATTCTTAAAAATATATCACGGAATCTCTGACGCAGCGTCTCGCGTGCCAAGTGAAAATCAAAAAAGGAAGCAACACGATTGAAAACCCTTTGTAGCCCATTGATAGCACCATACGAACTATAGTTTTATAGTTTAATCGATTCTGCCCTGTAGAATGTCTGCCACAAACAGGGCCCTTGTCGTATCTCTTCGACCCCTCAAAGGATCCAGGTGAATTAACTGGCACCGACTTTCGTAGCTTAGAAGGCGATGAGGATCCCTCCAAGGCAATCGTCGAAGGGCAAACCAGATGAATCGTCGTTGAATAGACTCTACTCTTTGTACACTGTTTTGGTAATTGGGATTCCGTACAGGGCAGCAGTATTCTAACACCGACCGGACGAGGGGCAGTATAGCGACTTCAAACAGTAGATGTCCGTGAATCTTTTAGCTATCCTGAAATTGGAGCCGAGCGTTCTGGATGCCTTGCCTACCTTGCGGAATACCCGAAGTGGCAGGGAACGAAGGAGATCGGCAGTCGTCGATTGCAACTTCCAACTGATGATCAGATAGCTAGGATGCGAACCATCGTAGGAGACTGCCGTTTATACCGAGCCTATCCATGTTGGCGATTGCTATAGGATGGTTCAACTTGTCGAAGGCGGCTGATAAGTCAGTGTAGATGACATCTGTTTGCATATGGTCTGTCATACTCTCCGTAATGTACGAGGTGAGACACAGAAGGTTGGAAGTAGTCAACCGCCCTGCCATGAAACCATGCTGGTCTTCGCTCAAGTGCTGCTCGAAGTGAGAGACTAATGGTTCCATAACGACCAACTCGAACAGTTTAGATATGGCACACAACAATGTGATGCCGCGATAGTTGTCGATTAATCTGTTGCATCCCTTGTTATGCACTGAAAACATCTCAGCTGATTTCCAGCAGGAAGGAAACACCCCACTGGAGAGGGACATTTCGAACAGAAGACAGAGATGAGCCACCAGGCTATCGATGTGTTGCTTGAGAAAGACGGAAGGAACTCCGTCAGGTCTGGGCTTAAATGAAGACTTCAGCTGCGAAGCCGCCCTAGTTATCATAGCGAGGTCGATGTTTATAGCTGCCACAGATTGACCAGATATTGGAAAATTGCTGGCTGCTAGAGAAACGTGCTCGTCACGTAGGTTCTCATCGGATAATACACTCTCAAGCTTGGTTGAGAACATACGGCAAATGTCCTGAGGGAATGAAGCTTCTTCGCCGTTCAGTACCATAGTCGATGGAAGGCCAGACTCCTTTTGTTGCTCATTTACATAATTCCAAAAAGTTTTCGGGTGAGATCGAAGCTTCCATTGAACATCTCGTTGATAACGCCGAAAACATGGGCGACTGGTTCGTTTGACTAGACAACCAATCGATTTTAGGGCTTATCTGTTGTCTAGGATATAACACTTTTGCCTGGAACGCGCAAAAATTGGTCGACAAAAAAATCGTTGCTTTCAGTCAAAATTCATAACACAAAAATTCATATCACAAAAATCTTCTTATTTTTCTTTTGGTAGTCCAATTCATATATTTAATGGAAAAAATGTTCGTTTATTCCTTTGGTTTGCCGAATCCGAACTGCCGTGCCTTCGGCTTAATCCCTTCCATTAAATTTTGCACAGTGGTCTCATCGACCTTATTCGCCGCTGAACGCCAGTTAGATTTAAACTGCTGCTCGTTTTCCATGGATTTATTAGTTTTTTTGAAATTCCGTTTGACCAAGGTCCAACACCGTTCGATAGGGTGGAGTTCTGGGCTGTTGGGAGAGTTGTGGTCTTTGGGTACCACAACCACGTTGTTCGCATCGTACCACTCGATTGATTTTTCCCATAGTTGCAGCTCGTCAAGTCCGACCAGAACAGCACAGGTCTATTATGTTGCTTTAGGAATGGTAGCAGCCGCTTTTCCAGGCACTCCTGGACGTAGGTCTCTTGATTGATGGCTCCCGTAGTAATCAAAATGCCGCTTTTTAGACATCACGTGCATATGGCCTGCCAAACGAGATATTTTTCGGGAACGTCGATAGTTTGACGGTTTTGAAAATTTCAGCCACCTGCCTTTTTCCTGATACGGTATTCATCGTCCATGACGACACAGTCGAACTTTGTGAGCAGATTCGTATACAGCTTTCGGGACCGCTGCATTGCAGACGTGTTTTGTTTGTTATCTCGGTTCGCCACCTTCACCTTCTTAAACCAACCCGGCTCGTT